GTGCCCCCAGCCACCCAAACTCCCAGTGGAGGCTGGCTGGAAGTAGGTATCTGGGATTTGTCTTCTATAATTGAAACTTTGTTGCCTTGAGTGGAGGCCACAGCCTGCCAGGTCAGGCGGGAAGCTTGGCTTCTTCCATTGCCAGGGGCAACCAAGCCTCCTGCTTGCTCCAGCTCCATGGCTGCCGGCAGCCATCTTGCTTGGGTTAATTTGCATATAGTCACTCTGATTGGCTGGTGGGTGTGGCTTGGGTGTAGCAGAAGTGCGGTCAATTTGCATGTTACTCTTTTATTAGATTTGATTAGATAGCCATTATATTTACAAGGAGTTATAATGACATGAGAAAATGCATATGAAAAATTACTAAGCTAAATAAAGAATAGGTTGTAAAATTACATATATAATATAATCTCAATTATATGAAAATGCTGAGCAATTCTGGAAGGAGATACAAATAAAAGGTTAATGGTGTTATCTCTAGGTAGTGAGATTATAGGCAATTATTATTTTTTGATTTTTCTTTCTATATTTTCCTTTTTCAATTGTTTTATGATAAGCTCATATAATAATTATAATAAGGCAAAACAGTCATTTTAATAACAAAAGTAAATTATATTTTCCCTAGAAGTGGAGATAATCAATGGAGTGAATAATTACTTGCTTTGTATCTGATAAAAGTTTTGTTGGAGGTTTATAAAATTTTAAAAAGCAGCCACTTCTGGAGGTGAAAATATCACCAGCATTCTAAAATAATAATAGAATTTGCAAGTTATCATAGTGAATCAGATTTTCAGTTACTCTTTACTACTTCCCTCTTGTTTTCTAGCTACTACCTCTGTGCCTGAATCAGCTTTAAAGTGGTCCCTCCCTGAATCATGGACAGGCATTGAAGAGGGCTGGGGAGGACACAACCATACCATCCCAGGCCCTGGGGATGACGTCCTGATTTTACCAAGTGAGTAAAAACAATTCTTGAATTAATCACTGACAGACTGAACCAGGCCAGTCTAGTTGGGGATTATCTGTCATTTAAGTTTATTGTACGACACAGTAGAGAACGTGGAAGTAAGTAGGCACTTATAAGTGAAATCTGGAAAAAATAGCTCAGCCAACCTTCATTAAAGGTAGAATAAGTAGTCACAATGCCAAGAGGACTTAAAATTATGGAGTAACTAGATAATTTTTTTTATGTGTTAGAGAACAGATTAAACCTTATGTTTGAAAGGCAGAGTACATGGAAATAAACAATTTTTAAAATGGCTTTTAATCTTTTGCCTGTGTGAAGTTTTTACAGATAGGACTGAGAAAAAAATGACAAATAAGCCCTTCTGTTGCCATGATTTTCCAAAGATGCTAGAAAAGGAACAGGTTAATAAAATAGAAAAACAAAATATGTATCATCTATCTATCCATCTGTCTATCTAGAACTCCTTCCCTGTGTACTAACAGATAGGAGAAAGATGATTCCTCAGATATACTGAAACACATATCACACTTAAAAAATTCATTTTTTCTATATAGGTAGTTTTTGAAACTCCCAGAAAGTCTCTCCAGTCTGAGAAGAAAATATTTTTAATAGAACAAATATATTTCCCCTAAAAGACCTAACTACATTTATGTTTGAACTTAAGTAAATACTCCATAAAAGAAGATTGGTACTGGAAGGTGAACATCTGGTCATCTGTGAAGTAATAATGGTAATATTAAGCATTTGTTGACAACTAACGGCATGGAATTATTCTCCATATATTAACTAATTTAATCCCCATAATAACTCTGTGATATCAGTGACATTATTAACCCCATTCTTACTGACAGAGAAACAGAGGCCAGGGCAGTTAAGAAATTGCTCAAGGTCACACAGTTTGAGGTTCAGCAAAGTCAGAATTTTAACCCAGACTGTCTTACTCCGAGTCTATATTCTTAGCCAATCAAGTGCATTCTTCTTCTAAAAAGTCTAAGAGTATGGGTGGTGAGGGCCTGGGGGAAGGAGGACAGGAGTGGGCTGGGAGAGGTTTAATGGGGAGAAAGGAGGGACTTATGTGATACTTTAAACAATAAAGATCAAAAAAATAAAATATAAAGTCTAAGAGTAAACAAAAGAGAGTAGTTTTGTTGTTTGTTTTATTGATGACAAAAAATGAAGGCAGAAAAAAAATAGAGTAAAATACAATTAAAAAGAGAGAGGAAAAACAACAACAAAATATACTATCTTCTGGGTAGTGGTGGTGTGCCTGTAATTGCATAGGGAGTTGAGGGGCTGGAGGGAGTGGGCTGATCAATAGGAACTTGAATTATCATTATTATTATCCAACTCCCCTATCTTCCACTTCTCTCCATGGAGGATGTAACTTTTTGAGTAAACAAGCTCATGAGTCATTCCTATACGAAAAGAAAAAATCTGTTCTGTCTCAGCCATCTCTTTGATGAATCTGGCCAGCGGATTGGCCCTGGGCTATGGTTTTTCCCACCGAGCAAGCTGTTTCTCCCACCCTGTGCGGAAGCAAGAGAAGCTTTTGAAGGTTGCCAAGCTTTTAATATCCTTTGGGACCTTTATGCAGAGTGAGGAGCAATCTTAGCTATCTTGCTTGGCATTGCAGTTGACTGTATCCATGTGTGTCCTGGCCGCCTAGAACCTCTGGCATTCTCCAGCATCCTCATTCTTTTGTTCATGGTCAGCTAATGAGATGGACCTGAATTCTCCATAAGATTGCTTTTAAATAGCACAAATCAATGCTTTGGAAAAGGTGGGTGGGGGCATAGTCATTGGATGCATAGAGTATCTTTCGTCCTTTAGTATTATTCTGAGAACCAGAGGAGTTAAGACTTTTAAAACATGTAGTTATTGTTTATTATTTGTACTTTTCAAATGTAAAGATAAGCAATGAAAACTGATATGTAATACATAATAAAGGAAGTCCTTACTCTTTTCCTGTTGCCCCTTCTAATAAGCCCTCTTTGAACTCCAGCAAATCATCTTTTAGTGGCCAGCATTTTAATTCATTGTTCCGTTCAGTTTTGAGCCTTACATAGGAGCTGTTCTGGCTAATTTTTCTCTGCTTATTTTTGGCAAACCTTGGCATTCTGACCTCTGATGGAACTTTGGATTTAATTTACCTCCTCTTTCTATTTGTGGTGTGTATTCTTAACCTTTTCCTGGCTCTCCTGGTTTCTTTCATTCCTAGTCTTCTTTGAATCAAGTACAATTTATTCACCCAAGTCTGGCACAAAATAGGCAGTCAGTAAGTATTGCTTGAATAAAGTGCACACGTCAATCTTGTCATCCATAATTTAATACCAGAAATAAATCTTTGAGTTTGACATAGTACAACTATACAATTTTACAGATTTGTCGAAAATAATGTCTTCTCCTCTGAACAGATTCCTAATAACTAAGATTTTTACCATGATGATAAACTGTCACTAAACTTGAGCACTTGATGTGTGCCACACACTGTGCTGTGTGATCCGCATATATTTCCTCAATTAAGTCTCACAACTACTTTATGCGAGGATGCTGTTTTTACCCGCCTTTGATAGATGAGAAATCTGGGACACAGAGAGATTAAGTAACTTGTGCAAGTTTCATCCAGCTATTCAGTAAAGAGGTGGGGCAGGAAATCAGACACTTTGATTCCAATGCCCTAACTCTTTATCATATCATTTTTAAAAACTCCACATCCCCGCCTGCTATGCTTGTCACGTCAGACTACATTTTATACTGAATTCATATTTCTCTGCTGGCTGCTCACATTGTTCCCTTCATGCGGAATTAAACCAAAGAGAACTTTATTATTTACTCTACTCAAGGAATTCAATCTTACCACATCCCCGGTAGGTGCACAATCCATAGGAAAACTGGAGAAACTTCCGAAAGAAGCACCCGGTAGTAAATATAGCTGTAATTCAAGGGCACGCTCCTTTCCAATTCAGTTTAACCAACATTCACTGAGCACTCACAGTGGTGAAGGCACTGGACCAGGTGCTCTTGATCTGAGGCTCCAAAGGCAAATCAGATACAGCCATGACCTCAAAGCAGCGAGTGACCTCAGCTGGGTTAATAAGACACATGATACATAACAATATAGCAAATAGCTGCAATCAAAGCAGACGTGTTTAGAATCACAGTCATGGTGGAAGAGAGGCATTTGAAGTGGCCCTTGGAAGATGGGATAACGGTCTGAGGGACAGTCTGAGTCACTAGGGCAGCGGTTCTCAACCTTCTGGCCCTTTAAATACAGTTCCTCATATATTGAGGATAAAATAAAATTATTGTTGTTGCTACTTTATCACTGTAATGTTGCTACTGGTAGGAATCATAATGTAAATATCTGATATGCAGGATGGTCTTAGGCGACCCCTGTGAAAGGGTCGTTCGACGCCAAAGGGGTCGCGACCCACAGGTTGAGAACCACTGCACCAGGGCATATTGGGGAGGTAGCGAGGCTTCAGGCGACAAGGAGGGCTGTCCATGAGGATAAACCTGGGTCTACATTTGGATTCTGACATTTACCAACGGCGTGATAGTGGATAAATTTTAAACCTTTCTGACCTTCATCTATAACATGAGGGCCATAATTAACACATCATAACGTTGAGCAGGGTGTTGGCAGTAATGGAATTATGGATGAAAGCTGTGATTTTTAATGTATCAGGGGCTCCTTTCCTTCATTTTTTCCATCTGGCTGCCCCTCTTGGCCTCTGATATTAGCGACACTTCGTATTTGCTTTCCAATGGCTTATTATTTAATTTTCACAATATCTTTGGGAGCTAAATAGGTAATAACTATTATTACAGTAAAAACCCATTTTTACATAATATGATTTTAATGGAACTGCTGATTTTATAAAATGAAAGTGACTGGTAAAGAAGATTTAAGTGATACTTTTGAACCCCTAATATAATTTTATGGTGTTTTGTGTATTTTAATTCATTAATAAAGTAAATGGGTAGAACATTCCCATCATTATTCAAATAGAATAGCATAATTTTTTTCAATAAAATTCTTAAGGTAAATTGCCTGTTTCCATTCTCTGGGAAATCTATTTTGTGGAATGACCTCAGACCCATCCTATTTCATAAAAATAGGACTTTACTGTACTAATAAAAAATATCACTATCTTAAGTATGGCACCGTTTTCCTTTGAAGTGTTCTGTCTTTATAGACATTGGCTTTAAAAAATATAAACGGCCAGGGAGATAATGGGGGGGGGGAGGGGACATATGTAATACTTTCAACAATAAAGACTTAAAAAGAAAAGCAAAAAAGTCCCTGGGTATTGAGCTCACAACCCGAGCATGTGCATTGACCAGGAATTGAACTGTGACCTCCCGGTTCATGGGTTGACACTCAACCACTGGACCACACCAGCCAGGCAGACACTGGATTTTGAAAAAGCTATAAATTCTTCTCAGTGGTATTATATGAAGTAAGCTGAGGTAACCAGGAAGAATTTGCTCCCATATTTTAGTTTATGATAAAAATAAACAATATTGGGAGGATTGGTCTAAATGCATCCTAGTCATCTTACAAAGCCAAAACAAAATTTGCAAGTTGGAAAGCCTCCAACCTTCACAAGAATAGCTGGTCAATGGGTAAAATGATGCTGCTAGCTTATACTTTCAGTTTTATCCCGAGCTGATCTAACAGGATCTGCGTAAGATCCCTCCCTACCCCCATGCTCTCAGAGAGTTGCAGCCACAACAGAATGACACCCTTTTCACGCAGGGCAGACTTAATGAAAGGAAAATGTGTTATAATTTCAAATGATCAGATTCTATTTTGAAGGGTACAGATATGATATCATGTAGCCTCCAGCATATATGTGTGTATGTGTGTTAGAATTCCCTGTGTTCCTTTTTTTAAAAATTACTTTGAACTGTCCTTAGTTGAAAATGAATGAGAGAGTCCTGTTTTTCTTTTATAATAGTTCTTCTGTTTGTTCTGATTTTCA